ATGTACCTTTGTGTGTGTCATTTACTCCATGAAATCAAATTTCCTACGCTTGGCATTGCAGAGACCAGAAAACCAGGGATGTGACCTGTGTTACTGGGCAATTATCAAAAGGCTTCTTTCCTCCTCCTCTGCTACCTCTGTGGAGTCCAATGCCAAAAAGAAAGGAAACTACCTTCGCTACCTGTCTGGTAGCATTATATCAATTAATTATTAACCTTTAACAAATATGACATTTGTTGACTGAGTAATGTGTCCATGTTGGCAGGGAAAGAAAAGCAAAAGCTGACAAGTGACAAATTGAATAGAAGGTGTTGCAAAATAGGATGCTATGCTTTGGTACAGTCTTCCTCAACCCAGATGGTTTGGACTCCCATTCATTAACATCCAGCAATTTCTGACATGGGCTTTGTAGTCCACCTGGGGGAGTTAGGGAATCCAAGTTGGAGGCAGAGGACTTTAAAATGATTCTGAAGGAGCCCAGAACAATATGTGTTTCCCTAAGTGACAACTTCCATGTAAATCCAATAGTTCGTTCCAACAGTGTTCTGCAACACAAGACAGCCAATGATCATGATCATGACTAATTGATTCTACTGCCTGGTGGACCCAGTGGGAAGAAAAGGCTCACCTAATGGAAATGCAAGGATGGAGGTCTATAAGTATCCCTCCCCAGCACCTTTTTTCACTGGTGGAGAGGGTTAGAGGCCCTTTTTTCTACACTGCCATATAAAATCCAGATTATCTGCTTTGAACTGTTTTATATGGCAGTGTAGACTCATATAATCAAGGTCAAAGCAGGCAATGTGAATTATCTGCTTTGATAATCTTAATTATATGGCAGTGTAGAAGGGGCTAGAGAAGCAGGAAGTGGCTCACCACTCTTCTTTCTCTTCCTCCAACATGGGATTTGCAGTCCATGTGGGGAAATCCAGGTTGGAGGCACATGACTTTAAAAGGATCCTGAGCACATGGAAGTTGTCACCTGTTGTTGTCCTCAGGGGAACAAAACGTGTTGGCTTGAGGATGACCAGTGACAGATTCCATGACCTTTCCTCTGTAAATCCCATAGACTGTTCCAACACTAATGTTTTGCACTACAAGCCAGTCAGTGATAATGATCATGATTAATTTATTTTACTGCCTGATAAACGAAAGGGGAAGAACAGGCTCACCCAGTAAGAAGACTGGGTGAAACTCCTAAAAGGTTACTGAAGGACCCAGGAACAAAATATGTTCCCCTAAGAGAGGCAGGTAATAGCTTCCATGCCCTTTTTGCCTGTAAATTCACATTAAGTCCCAGCACTACTGTTTTAGACCACAAGCAAATCAATAATAAGGAAAATAATTAATTGATTTTACTGGCACTGGGAAGAAAAGACTCACACAGGCCCCTTATACACTGCCATATACAATTCAGATTTTCTGTTTTAGATTATATGGCAGTGTAGACTCATACAATCCTGTCTGAATGTATCTCCCTCTACAAACCAGCCCAAATGGTAAGATCCTCTGGGGAGACGCTGCTTTTGAGCCCTCTACCTTTGCAGGTCCAGCTGGTGGGGGAAAGGGACAGGGCCTTCTCAGTGATGGCCCCAGCTGTGGAACTCCCTTCCTAGTGAAAACAGATATCAGCTTTCTCCCTCCTGTGCTTTAGAAAGAAAGTTAAAACCTGGTTGTGGAACCAAGCGTTTAGAGAGTGGTACAAGGCAACGTGCAGCTATGAAGTGAATGTAATGTAATTGGAATGGCTTCTGGACTATGATTTTATGTCTACGTGCAATGTTTAACAGCTTATTTAATGTATGTATATGCTATTGTTTTTATTATTTTAATGCATAATGTATTTGTATGTTTTGTGTTTAATCGGCATTGAATATTGCCAATTTGGAAGCTGCTCTGAGTTCCCTCTGGGGTTGAGATTGAGAAGGGTAAAAATGCAGTAACACCTTGGTGGCGCAGCGGGTTAAACTGCTGAGTTGCTGAACTTGCTGACTGAAAGATTGGTGGTTCGAATCCAGAGAGTGGGGTGAACTCCCGCAGTTAGCCCCAGATTCTGCCAACCTAGCAGTTCAAAAACATGCAAGAATGAGTAACAACAACAACTTTATATTTGTATCCTGCCACCATCTCCCCAAAGGTACTTGGGGCTGCTTACATGGAGATCAAGCCCAGTCAAACACAATTAAAACATGGAAAAATAAATCAATAAAATACATGTAAAAACAGCATAAAAACAAAACCATAATAATCAACAATCGGTGGCTGAGCACAGCGGTTCAAAACATATTCAAAACTAAGGGGCGAGGCAAGGGCTTGTGCAATACAACTACCAGGAGTGGATTGATAGTAAGATGCAAGGGCCAGAGGCCTGATGAGGGCTAGAGGGGTCAGATCAATTAGTAGAGTACACTACAAGGGGAGAGATAATAATAAACTGCAAGGGCCCAGTATTAAATTATAGCTGGGGGAGGGGCTATCACCTAGTGAATCGGATTAATCAAAAGCACATTGGAACATTCAAGTCTTTAGGTCTTTATGGAAAATGGACAGGGTAGGTCCTAACCTAATCCCCCTGGGGAGAGAGTTCCAGACCGGGGGGGGGGGGGCACCGAGAAAGCCCTCTCTCTCTTGTCCCCACCAACCGTGCTTGAGATGGAGGTGGAAGCGAAAGAAGGTCCTCCCCAACAGATCTTAGAGCTCATGTCGGTTCATAGGGGAACCTTCTGCAGGAAGGCAACGACACTCCATGCAGTCATGCTGGCCACATGACCTTGGAGGTGTCTATGGACAATAACAGCTCTTTATCTTAGAAATGGAGATGAGTACCACCCCCAGAGTTGGACACAACTGGACTTAATGTCATGGGAAACCTTTACCTTTACAGTAAAAATGTATTGAATTAATAAATAAACTATCCAGTTCAAAGAAGATAATCTGGATTATAGATGGGACCACAGTGGGGACGAAAGGTCTGACATATACAGTGTTCCCTCACTTACCGCAGGTGTTACGTTCCAGGACCACCCGCAAAAAGTGAAAACCTGTGAAGTAGGGATGCTGTATATGTATATTGAGTTCCAAAGGTGATGGAGAAGCGAGGAGAGATTTAGAGGCACCGGACACTTTTTATTTTTGGCCTTGAAATTTCTCTTGATTGGCTGCCTCTCACACTCCATCATTGCCAAGAAGCAGGATTAAAATACCGCTCTGGGCAACGACAACCATTCGTCAACTGGGAGGCAAAAAACCGCAAAACAGCAAGTCCGCAAAAAGCGAACCGTAGCGAGGGAACACTATATCCCCTTTCCTCCCAGCACTGCTTTTCCCCAGCACTGTTTTATTTATTTTATTGTGATGTTATTTTGTTGTTTATATTTTATGTTGCTGTAATGTATTGCTGAGTTTGGCCTCATGTAACCTGCTCCAAGTCCCCTTTGGGGAGATGGTGGTGGGGTATAAATAAAATTTATTATTATTATTATTATTATTATTATTATTATTATTATTTGAAACACAACAAGATGAGTGCACAGCAGATACTCTGCTGGCTGTTGTATTGGATCACATGTCGGACACTTCCCAAGTGTCTAGGACTGTGTGATGTATCGGCGAATAATGCATGCAGATCCCAGTAAGGTGGCCTTTTGCAGCTGGCAGATGGTAATTGTCAGCGCCGATTGTGTTTAAGTGCAAGCCAAGGTCTTTAGGCACTGAAGCCTGTGTGCGGCCACACTGCTTTTCCCCCAGCACTGGTTTGTTTATTTTATTGTGATGTTATTTTGTTGTTTATATTTTATGTTGCTGTAATGTATTGCTGGGCTTGGCCTCATGTAAACCACTCTGAGTCCCTTTTGGGGAGATGGTGGCGGAGTATAAATAATAATAATAATAATAATAATTAATATTATTATTATTATTTGAAACACTACAAGTTGAGTCCACAGCAAATACTCTGCTGGCTGTTGTATTGGATCACACGTCGGACACTTCCCAAGTGTCTAGGACTGTGTGATGTATCAGCGAATAATGCGTGCAGATCCCAGTAAGGTGGCCTTTTGCAGTTGGCAGATGGTAATTCTGTCAGTGCCGACTGTGTTTACGTGCAGGTCAAGGTCTTTAGGCACTGCACCCAGTGTGCTGATCACACTTCTTTCCCCCCAGCACTGGTTTATTCATTTTATTGTGATGTTATTTTGTTGTTTATATTTTATGTTGCTGTAATGTATTGCTGGGCTTGGCCTCATGTAAGCCACTCTGAGTCCCCTTTGGGGAGATGGAGTATAAAAATAAAGTTATTATTATTATTATTTGAAATGCAACAAGATGAGTCCACAGCAAACACTCTGTTGCCTGTTGAACTGGATCATACATCGGACCCTTCCCAAGTGTCTAGGACTGTGTGATGTATCGGCGAATAATGCCAGTAAGGTGGACTTCTTAATTATGCAGCTGGCAGATGGTAATTTTGTCAGTGCCGATTGTGTTTAAGTGCAGGCCAAGGTCTTTAGGCACTGCACCCAGTGTGCCGATCATCACTGGGACCACCTTTACTATTATTATTTTACTATTATTATTTTGCAGGTGGCGAGGGCAAGAGAGGCAGGCCTGGCTCCCCTGCTGTTGTGGCTCCTCCTCCTCCTCCTCCTTTAACAAGAGCTTTGCAGCCTGGAACAAAACCGGCTCTCCTAAATGCCAACTTCCAATTCCTTTTACCTACAAGCCTCACAGTCTACTTCAACACTTGGCATGGGTTTTGCAGTCCATGTGGGGGGCAACAAAATCCAGATTGGAGGCAGGGGAGTGTACAAAAGGAGCCAGGAACAAAAGGTGACACCTTCCTTGCCTTTCTACCTGTAAATCCAGCAGTCTCCTATGTTACATCACAAGCCAATCCATGATAACGATGGATTGACTGCATGGCCAGTGGGAATCAATGTGGAAGTCTTGGGTATATCAAACCTTGTGGGTAGGGAGAGTAAGAGAGGCAAGCATCGGCTCACCTGCTGTTGGGGCTGCCGCTCTTCCTCCTCGTCCTCCTCTTCTTCTTCCTCGGGTGTCCATGGCTCTTGTGGTTGCTGCTGCTGCTTCTTCCTTTGCCTCGGCGCTTTCCCAATGGCGAGGGGGGACGAGGAGGAGCGCGATGGCGCCGCCGGCTCCCGTTCCCACTCCTTTCCCAAGACACATTCCGTCGTTTGCAGCCAGAGCAGCTCCTCGGTGGAGCCCATCGCGGGGGAAGAATACGAGAAGAGCCCGGATCCCGCCTGCTGCTGTGGCTGCTGCTGCTGCTGCCCCGCGCGCAGGGCGTCCAAGCCCACGCGCGAGGAAGCTCCGTGGCGGCGCCGCTGCGGTTGCTGCCGCCTCTGCTGCTGTCTTTGCTTTCTCCTTCTTGGCAGGGCGTGCCTGGCTGGGGAGCCGTCACGGGATCCAGTGGGAGGCGGAGGGCCGAAAGGCGACCCCGGGAAAAAGGGAAGGAAGCGCGCGCGGAGGCGGAGTGGGAGTGAAAGGGGGAGCGCGCAAGGGAGAAAGGAGGAAGCGGCGTGCCTCTCCGCCTTTTGTTCCCCAGCCCTCCCAGCCGTCTCTCTTTATACAGCGTCTCCCTTCCTCCCCCTCGTGTCTCTCCTTCGTGGAAAGCGCCCACCTCTGGAGGAGTGGCTGGGCCAAAGGGGCGGCAAGCATGGGCAACTTGGCTTCCAACTTGGACGCCTTGAATGCACGCCTGACAGCCCTTCGAACTGCCAAGCCTCCATGCTACAGGCATCGTGGGAGTTGTAGTTTGCTGAAGCACCAGCATGCTTTGGCAGAGAAGGCTAGAAACATTCAAGAACTACAACTCTCAGGAATCATAGAGTTGGAAGAGACCTCATGGGCCATCCAGTCCAACCCACTGTCAAGAAGCAGGAAAATTGCATTCAATTTTCTGTTTAAAAGCTTCCAAAGAAGGAGCCTCCACCACACTCCGGGGCAGAGAGTTCCACTGCTGAACAGCTCTCAGTCAGGAAGTTCTTCCTTATGTTCAGATGGAATCTCCTTTCTTGAAGTTTGAAGCCATTGTTCCAAGTCCTGGTCTCTAGGGTAGCAGGAAACAAGCTTGTTCCCTCTTTCCCTATGACTTCCACTCACATATTTATAGATAGCTATCATGTCTCCTCTCAGCCTTCTCTTCTTCAGGCTAAACATGCCCAGGTCTTTAAGCCGCTCCTCATAGGGCTTGTTCTCCAGATCCTTGATCATTTAAGTTGCCCTCCTCTGGACACATTCCAGCTTGTCAATATCTCTCTTCAATTGTTACATAGTATTCCTGAGCCATGAAAGTTTTGGACAATGGGAATCTCCATAACCTTTTTGGAAATGGCTTGGGAGTTCTCCGGCTACTTCATTACACTAGACACTTGCTGGAACACTTCAGCAAGCAAGAATCCAAAAGTGGCAGGTTAAAACCCAGAACTTCAATCAGTGGCTGATACCAAATGAGAGACTCCCTCCTGGGCACACAGAAAACTGGGCGACTTGGAAGGCACTGTGCTCTGGCACAATGAGGTGCAGAGCCAACCTTAAGAAATGGGGATACAAAGTGGAATCCACGACGACATGTGAATGTGGAGAAGAGCAAACCACAGACAACCTACTACAATGCAACCTGAACTCTGCCACATGCACAATGGAGGACCTTCTTATTGCAACACCAGAGGCACACCAGAGGCATATTAATCTAGTTACAGATTGATTTGAAGTTGGGCATCTTTCTTATAATCTTAACAGTCCAAAGTCTAAAGTTTCTCTCTGGTCTGAAAGTCTAATAGAGTCTCTTTAGCATTTTGTTTCTACTGACTTCTAAAAGTATACTGTTTCAGAAATGGAATCTGAGTCCTCAATAGTTCCAGATCTGATCACATGGTCTGCAGCCCTTCCCACAACATAGAGTTAAGGAAAACTGCATACCAATAACACACATATACAATACAGTAAGCAGTCTGAATTATATACATAACAAACAACTAGTATAGGAGTCTTGTAGAAGGTGGCTATTTCCAACAGAAAGCCCAAGTGCTATCAAGCTGCATTCATTCCCCAGTGTCACTAGCTTTATCTACACCAGAGGTTCCCAAACCTGCATTCATTCTCCAGTGTAGAGAAATGTCACTAATGATAAAGGCTTTATCTACACCATAAGTAACCAACTTATTTGGCTTACCCTACCACTCCCATTTCAGAGGAAAAAAAAAACACGCTCTCCTGGAAATCTGCCTTCTTTAAGCGGAAAATAAGCAGTCTGCTTTTGAGCACAATTCAAAGTGCTGGTTTTAACCTTTAAAGCCCTAAACAGTTCTGGCCCAATTTACCTGTCTGAACATATCTCCTGTTACGAACCATCATGAAGTCTAAGATCATCTGGAGAGGCCCTGCTCTCGATCCCACCACCATCGCAAATGTGATTGGTGGGGACAAGGGACAGGGCCTTCTCAGCAGTGGCCCCCTGTCTGTGGTATTCCCTTCCCAGGGACATCAGACTGGTCACTTCCCTCCTGTCTTTTAGAAGGAAACTCAAGACTTGGCTATGGGACCAAGCGTTCGACCATTGAATAGCAGCAATGTGGGAAGATGATTTAAGCAACTTGCGATAATGAACTGACCCAGACCTGGTTTTGGATTTTAATTGGCATGTTTTAATCGATTGTTTAACTGACTGTTTTTAATTAATTGTTTTTAATTAATTGTTTTTAATTGTATTGTTGAATGTTTATAATTGTGACAGCACTGGATGGTGCTTGCTATGAGGCCACCCTGAGTCCCCTCTGGGGTGTGAGAAGGGTGAGTTACAAATGCAGGAAATAAAGAAATAAATAAAATACACAAAGTCCCCTTCTACACTGCCATATAAAATCCAGATTATCTGCTTCACACTGGATTATACAGCAGTGTAGACTCAGGGCCCTTCCACACAGACTATAACCCAGAATATCAAGGCAGATAATCCACAATATCTGCTTTGAACTGGGTTATCTGAATCCACACTGCTATATAATCCAGTTCAGTGTGGATTTTATACAGCTGTGTGGAAGGGAGCCCATATAATCCAGTTCCAAGATAATGTGGATTATCTGCTTTGATAATCTGAATTATATGGCAGTATTGATGGGACCAAAGACGCAGTGAAAAATGTGCATCCTTTGAGTAATATCTCCCTATATCCTACAACTTGGGAAAGGAAGATATTGCTATAAAGAAGACACCTTGAAGATTGTAATTACTACAGTATTTATTAAAATCAACCATAGTAACATTTTCAGTGCACATAAAAAATTAAGAACGAATTTAAGGCTGTAATATTAAAATTTAAAAAATTACGAATAGCATTAAAATAATCCTAAATGAGAAGGACAAACCTGGTGTGTTGCTATCAATTTATTAATGTTCAGTTCTATTTTTGTTAGATTTAATGTATGTCACCTATTTATAGTATCGTATTTAAACAAATAATTACACACACTTACTCCTGCCAGTGCATGCTGTACTTCCTGACAATGCATGACATACTTGCTTGCCAACACATTAACATTAAAATAGAACTAAACCTACAAGGCAGTTAAAATCACAACACTCAATGTGCATTTACACTATAAATTTAATGCAGTTTGTCACCACTTTAACTGCCATGGTCTAATGCCATGGGATCCTGGGATTTGTGAGGCACCAGCACTCTTTAATAAAGAAGGCTGTAAAACCACAGCTTACATGGTGTCATAGCAACATAACACATTAAATATAATCAACAATGTATGTATAACTGTCAGATACAATTGGAAGTAATTATTTTCTTTATATATTTTTGTCTTGGTCTTTATTTCTGCTTACATCATTCAGTGTAATGTTGACATCTAATAAAAAATCTTTTAAAAAGTAGAACCTTCTTGTTTTCTTGCATCACCTCCTTGTTTAAAGACAAACAAAACACTTCTTGAAACATTTAAAAAATATATGTGACTTGCTGCATGTGTATTTTAAAGCATACAGCTTTCTTCTCATATATTTCAGACATTAGGATGATACCAATGAGGTCTCAGTAGATGAACAAAACCATGTGAAATTGAGCTCACCCTGAGAACCATGTAGCCATCCAGATGATGTTAAAGTATCTCATTAAACCTTTCTCAACCTGGGAGTTGGGACCCCCAGGTTGAGAAATGCTGATATAAACAATCTCTTTTTTATGACAAGAAATGCATTTGCCACTCTACATAGGCATGTAGAGTCGCAAATGCATCCCTTGTCATAAAAAAGATTGCTTATATCAATGTTTCTCAACCTGGGGGTCAAGACCCCTGGGGGGGGGGGGTTGCGAGGATGGTGTCAGAGGGGTCACCAAAGACCATCAAAAAACACTGTATTTTCGGTTGGTCTATTGTTGGTGGGATTCAGAATGTTCATTGATTGTAGGTGAACTACAAATCCCAGCAACTACAACTCCCAACTTTCAAGGTCTATTTTCCCCAAACTCCCCCAGTATTCACATTTGGGCATATTGAGCATTCGTGCCAAGTTTCATCCAGATCCATCATTGTTTGAGTCCACAGTATGCTCTGAATGTAGGTGAACTACAACTCCAAAACTCAAGGGCAATGCCCACTAAACCCTTCCAGTATTTTCGGTTGGTCATGGGAGTTCTGTGAGCCAAGTTTGATTCAATTCCATTATTGGTGGAGTTCAGAATGCTCTTTGATTGTAGGTTAACTATAAATTCCAGCAACTGCAACTCCCAAATGACAAAATTAATCCCGCTCCCAACCCCACCAGTATTCAAATTTGGGCATATCTGGTATTTGTGCCAAATTTGGTCCAGTGAATGAAAATACATCCTACATTACGATTCATAATATTGCAAAATTACAGTTATGAGGTAGCAACAAAAATAATTTATGGTTGGGGGTCACCACAACATGACAGGTTGTGGCATTAGGAAGGTTGAGAACCACTGCTTTAAATGAACACTTGAGTATGAGCCAGTGACATCATTATTTGCATTTTTTTAAAAATGTGGAGGATGTGAAGTGAAGAGAATGACAATATGCCAAACACTTTTTAGTGGTGTGTAAGATATGGGCTTCTTGATTCATAGCTTTTATTTATTCATTCATTATAAAATAAAATATTGATGTGTTGTCCTTCATAACAAATTCATTCCAGACTGATGCAAAACAACAACAACAAGTAAAGCATTAATGCAATCATAAAATACAGAGTTGGATAAAAGCTTACAAATACAGACAGAGCTTTTAAAAAGTCGATTTCTAAAAATTACAACTCCCAGAATCCCCCAGGTGGCATGGAGCTGAATAATACAATACATTCTCCAAGCTCTGGATAGATCTTATTTTAATGATGACAGCTTTGGGGTGTAATGAAGCGCTGCATCCTTAGCTCAAGAGGTACAGAGAAGCATTTGAAGCACATCCTAAATCATTTCCATTATCTCCTTGAAACAACATTAAATCCAAACAGATACAATTAGATGGGCCTTAATCTAATGGTTTGCAAGTGCAGGGTTTCAATCATTCCAGGTAAAGATGTGCAGCATTGCTATCTGCAAGGCAGTCTTCTATCTGTATGGGAGAGCTGAGCAGA